GGTGCACGAGTACAATGCGTGATGCGTAAACCGTTCGCCGATATCCGTCGCCACGACATCGAGGCCGCCATACGCGTCGCGACAGCCGTGGGCCTGCCGCTGCTGGCGCTCGATGCGATCGGACGTCTCGATCTCGCGGTCTATGCCGCGTTCGGCGGATTGGCGATGCTCTATGGCCACAGCGAGCCGTCGAAGAAGCGCGTCGAAAGCCAGATCGTCGCCGGCACGGGCCTGGTCATCACGATGGCGGTGGCGATGGCGTGGTCCGCCGCGCACGCATCGGTCGCCGTGTTGGGCATCCTGCTGGCGCTCACCGTGAGTGCCGCGGTCACGCTCGGCGCGACCATGCGCTGGGTACCGCGCGGAGAAATGTTCTTCGTGCTGGTGCTGCTGATCGTCGCCGCCATTCCCACGACCTGGGACCACCTGCCGCTTGCACTCGCCGTCGGTGCCGGCGGTGCGGCCTTCTCGGTGGTGCTCGCCGTGATCAACGGCATCGGCGCACCACCGGATGAACCCAGGCCCGACGGATGGCAACGCCGCATCGTCGCGGGCTACGCCGTTCTCGACCGTCGCCAGCATCTGATTCTCCTCGCCGCCGCCACCTTCGGCGTGCTGGCCGCCTGGGGGCTGGCCCTTGCCCTGAGGATCGGTCATCCCTTTTGGGCGGCGGTCACCGTCGCTGCACTGATGCCGGCGCTGGCCGCCCAGGATGTCTGGCGGCGCGCGATCTACCTGATGCTGGGCACCGTCGGAGGTGTCGCCATCGCCACCCTTCTGTTCTCCTTCAATCCCGGCCATCTCGCGCTGATCGCGATCATCATCGTCTGCCAGGCCGTGGCGGAGATCGCGGTGTCGCGCAACTACGGCGTCGCGCTGCTGTTCTTCTGCCCGCTGGCCATCGGCATGAGCAACCTCAGCCGCGGCGCGCCCTGGCCACCCATCCTGCTCGACCGCGTGGCCGAGGCGGCGCTGGGCGTTGCGGTCGCCTTCGTCACGATCTTCGTGGGGCGCCGGATCCTCAAGGTGACTTGAGCGAGCGGATCGCACGGCGAACCTGTTAC